ACTAATTCTTCGAATCCATTTTTTAAGTATAAATATCACGAAGCTTTAACAATAAAAATAGCTTTTGCTGAAAAGAACAAAACCCCTTTATCACAAAGAGGTTCACTTCACTACTACCGTCGCTGACCTTTAAAAAAGGTAATCCCTTGGCGTCCTCAGGCGAAATACCAGGGAGTCATTATTGACAATAAGCCCTTGTAATGGCCGCACCAAACTATATCGCATGGTCAAGGTGGCGGTTCAAACCCTTTACTCTTCACTTTGTGCTCGAAGCAAACTCTCGCTGCACAAAAAACGACCCTTGTATTTTCTGTGCATTCGACTGATCATTAAATACGCGTCTGCTGCCTGGACCTACGACTCATTGGCAATAGTCTCTTCGCTTCAAGTGAGACAAAACAAGCTTTTACGCTCTATGACAGGTGCGCCGTGGTTTGTTCGCAACGATTCCTTACGTAATGACCCCTGCATTGAGCCCCTGGGTTAACGTTTTTCGATGCAATGCTCTCGCCACCTATGATCGGCTCAGTCAGCGCACCAATCGATTACTGACAGACGAGGTCAAGCACGAAATCTGCGCTAGTGCACGCCATCGCCGCCGACCGCGGAGTTGCTTTAGCACGAGCTTAAAACCAATTTGTTCGCTATCACCCTGTTGAGTACTCGTAAATTCGGGGTTTTCTTTTACGACACGATCGAGCACAGAGAAATATCATTAATAATAATAAAAAAATAGCAGAGGAACGGTTATCTCCCTTTCCGAGAGGAGCTCATACTCGGGGAGGCCTGGCAAGCAGTGGCGCTGGCAATGTCTCCAGGTGACCTCGGGTCTTGTGTTGCCTAAGGCCGCCTCTCCTGGTGGTGGTTTTTAGCGGTTTTCCACCACACTAGGCCGAATGGCGGGAGCCTGGACTCGATATTTCCCGCTTTCTCAGTCTTCGGGATGTCATGATAGCTCTAAGAAGAGCGGGCGTTGGCAGGCACTCGCCCCCAAGTACCCATGCTGCTGGTGGAATAGGATTAAGCAGCCAAAGACCCCCATGGACCTCCACTGAGGCATAAAAAAAAAAAATCAGAGTTTTTCTCTTTTAGCTCGGTTTTTTTGCCTGTGACTGTTCGCTGGGTGTTTTCCTCTTGCTTGTTTCCTCTCTATGATCCAGCAATTAAAGAAGGATCGCATAGATTCGGTTTAAAGAAAAACCTCCTAACTACTGGAAGAAAAACCTTATTGACAGACTTTAGTTGAAACCCTATAAATATTTAAACACTATTAATATGTAACAACGCCTGCAAGGGTTCCTACTCTGAATAACTTTGCTTTATCTTTTGAGTATAAAAAACTTTACAACTGCTTATAAGCCTATTTTTGTGTTTCCTCTAATATATGAACAAATTTACTAATATATTTATAAAAAAAATTTACTTGTTATCTTTTTAAAAAGCATTAATAAATAAGGTAAAGTTTTTACTTGCAAAGTGTGTACATGCAAATTTTTTAGGGTTCGTACTTGGTGTATTCTGAGATAAGGCGAATAACTGGATCTGGACATCTTAGGGGCGCCTTTAGTTACCGGCAAATATTTTTTTGAAGTTTATCAAATTTTTAAATTATAAACAAATAGAAATTTATATAGAATTTTACAAGAGTGTACATAAAAAAGAGCTATTTAAGATATTTTCGAGCGTTAAGATATTTACGTTAGTTGGCTATACTAATAGACGTATATGCTAACGAGGGTTTACTCCTGTAGAGTAGAATTAGAGGGTCAAACAGTTTTTTTAAAAACTAAAAAGTTACCTCAGAAGCGTAAGGAACGCATAGTTAAAATTTAGATAATCAATATTGTTTAAAAAAAATTTAAAGAATTTTCATTATTAAATGGAAATTAAACAGAATAAAAAAATCAATGGAAGGCTTAAGTCTCAAAGATATAAGTGATAAGTGGTTTGATGAACTTAAAGAGGATGTAGGCGTTCAAGAAGAGGTAGAAGTAATTTTCTATTCTATAAATTTATTCAAAAATTTATCTTTTTTAATACTTTACATTATAAATAAGTTGATAGAAAATTTATTTATTATTTAGTATTTTTAATAAAACACTTCCTCTTGCTTTATGGTTGAAATTAAATTTGCATAAACTATTTATATGAATCAAAACAATATTTTAATATTTAATAATATGTAAGACGATTTATCTTTGTAATTACTTATAACTATATTAAAATTTGTTTCATTTAAGATTAATCCGCTTAACTTTTATTTTTAGCTATTAAACATTTATAATTTAAATATTTAAATATTCATCCTTTTAGAAAACTAAAGATATTAACTTTTTGCAAGAATTTCAGAAGACTAAGTCTCTGCCTGCATCACTCTTTCGGTTAACTTAGTCAAAATTTTTGATAAATTTCAGAAAAACAATTTTTTAATATTTTATCTTAATTTTTTTATTATTAGGCTTTATTCAATCCACCGTGAAAAACTTGTTGAAGCTTTTGATCTCGTTGAAAGAAAAAAAGTCTTTGTTTATCGAGCGCTTATAAGTAAAAGACAATTTTTTCAAGTGCGCCTAATAAATTTATTTATTGATTTTTTTTGTTTTGATAATTTTATTTATTTGTATATTTTTTTTTAAGTCATAATCTAAATTTTATATTAATATTCCTAATTTATAGTTATAAATTTTAACAGGAAATTTACGAACAATCTATTCTAATGATTTTTGATCTTTATTATTTACGTTTTATTAAATATTACATTGATAGTTATTTTTTTAGAAATTTATGTAAATAAGAAAATTTCAAATGTTTAAAAAAAAATTTGAAGTAAATTTTTTTGTAAAATAGTAAAAATTTTTAGCTAAGAAAAAATTATATTATTTATTTTGAAACTTTTTAAAATTTTTCTCTTATTTATTATAATTTACTTTTTTTCATGTTAAAGTAATATTTACCTTTGAAAGGATTATTATTATAAAAAATTTATAAATTAATAATTTTTCCTATTTAATAAAGTTATAAATAGTTAACAAACTGCGGAGTAATACTGACATTGTTATTAACTATATTAGAAAAGTTATAAATTATTATACAATAGCGCAAAGTAAAAGTAAAATTTCAAATAAATTATTATAATCCTTTGGGGTAATAAAGCTTATTAATAATCATTTTCGCTTTCGTTTATTATTTTTAATTATGAATTAATAAAAGTTTAAAAGTTTAATAAAAATTTACATATTAAAATTAATAATAATAATAATAAAATAATTAAACTTTTTTAGGTGTGCTTTTCCCTTATACTTGGAAAAGTAGAAAAATAATTTATTTGTAAAAAGTAAAATTAAATTTATAATCTTTTGGGGAAATTATTAAAATATTTCTTTTATGGCCTTTTCTTAAATTAAAAGCCTATTTATAATTCTTTAGTGGTTGAATTTTTATCAGAAAATTTATAATTTTAAAAAAAATTTAACTCGAACTAAAAAATGTAGATTTATTAAAAAGTTGTTTATTATATAGATAATTTAGCAATAAAAAAATATTATTTGTAATAGTAAAAGGTTCGGTTTTGATGATGATTCTTGTATATAATAAAAAATGATCTTAACTTTGTTTTTAAAAAATTTAGAGATTTTTATTTAAAATAATAATAGTTATTAAAAATAATTCTTTTTTCGTACTATTTATTTGTATATAATATTATTAATAATTTTTTCATATTTTTTAATTTAATTTTAAAGTAAAAAGTTTAATTTCATTATAAAAATAGTAATTATTACGATATTATGCATTGGAAAAAAAAGACTTTAAATTTATTATAAAAATTGTTATTCCTATGATTTAAAGTTTAAACTTATTGTTTATGATGATATTTATATATAATATTGTTAGATTTATAGTTTAAACTTATTAAATATAAATAGTTATTACGAATATATATATAATAAAAAATATCTCTAAATTTAAAGATTCAAAGTTTAACTTTTTTATAAAAAAGTTATTACGTTGTTATTATATAAGGATATAATAAACTTTAAAGTTATTTATAATAAAAATTGTTATTACAATGAAATTTATTCTACACAATATTGAATAACATAAAAATTTTAATTTATTATATAAAAATAATTATTATAATTTCTTAAAAAATGGTCATTGTGATGATCACGATATAATTTATTATACCAATTCATATATATATTAAGTGTTGTTTATTATTTTTGTAAAAAACTTCTAACGCCCAGCTTTGTTTAGTGTGTTTTTTATATATAAAATTTTACAGAGCAATAAAGTACATATATAGTGTTTTTTATCATCTGCAAAAAACTCGAGCTACTAAAAAATTCATTAAATTTTTTAATAAAACTTTTTATATTTGCAAAAAAAAATTTTTGAAAATTTAAAACTAATAAAAAAGTTTTGTAAATTTTTAAAAAAATATTAACTTAAAGTTATGAATTTTCAATTTATTTATAATATTTATTAATAAAAAATTTGTTTTTATTTTTGTAGGTAAAAGATTCTCGATTATTACTTTGTCTTCCTGATTGCAACTTTTGTGAATGCGATACTTTTCTTGAATCAGGTTGATAACTCACGCCTTTAGCCATATAAATTATTAAATATCTAAAAAAAAAAGTAATAGAGTAAAAGTATATAATAAAAGTAATAAATAATTTTTGAAAAAAGAACTTTTACTTTTTAATAAGTAAAAAATTAAAATAAATAACAGAAAAAAAATAAAAAAATTCCCGAGAAAATTATTGCATTAAAAATTAAATTAACTTTATTTTTTTTTTTTTGTTTATTATCGCAATAAAAAAGTATTAAAAAAAGTTTAGCAAAATTTCAAATCTTTTTTTTTAAAAAAAAAGTTAAGTTATTCATTTTTGTTCTTAATATGAATGAAATATTATAAATAAATATTATATTATTATTTTTTTAAAAAAAAAATGATAATTGCTTATTAAATTTTTATATATTTATTTATATTCCTTCTCCAGTCCTTGAACGGAAAACTCTTCATGTAAGGACTTTATATAGATAATATTTTGTTTATTTATTGAAAGTTTAAAAGTTATTAATTTATAAGCTTTAATATTAGTGTAAACACGTTTTGGCCTGCAAACTTTCGTCTTCCTTAAATATGACGAAAGTAAATTATATAACTTTTAAGAATACTGTGATGTTTTAAATTTATTAATGATAAGGAAAACCTTATTGAGGACGACCAATTTTCTATTATACTGGGCTATTAATGAAGACGTATACAGTCGCTTTAATTATTATTATTGTAATTGTTAGGAGATTTAAAATTAAAAAAATTATTCTATTTAATATATCAATAAAATTGTTGATCACATTAATTAGTAAAATTAAATACTTTTTTAAATTTCATAAAAACTTAATTCTTTAGTATCAATATAAAGAAAATTTGACTGTTATTAAAACCGTTAATATTTCACAAATTCTGCAGATCTTTTTTTAAGAAAGCAGGGAACTATTAAAAAGGTGGACGATTATTTATTTGTTGATTGATGAATGTTTAAAATTTTCTTTTGAGCTTTTAGGTTCTTTAATAACGTTAAGCTCCTAATAAACTATCCTGTAGACAGTTACTGACATTCTGTTTGACCCTATAAGGCAGTCCAATGTATTAACTTGTCCTCTGGGCAATAAAGAAAAAACTTCTCTACAGCCCGATAGGCTAAGAGGAAGCCAAAAAACAAAAGAACTAAAATCTCGTTGTTAATTAAGGTTAATGAATATATTATATATATAATTTTTAAAAAATAGTCTTGATATATTATAAATCTATCAGTTAAAATTAATTAAAACGCAGAGCGCATACCCTCAGGTGGGTGGAATTTGTCTTATTTACCCTACCATTCTCTCAACAGATGACATTCTACCGTCGACCGCATAGCAAATCGTAACTGCTTTTAATCCATATTCCCTCTAAAAAATTAAAGGAGAAGTAAAGAAGGAGTCCAGTCCCTCTGGAGTAGGAGCGATCGATTCATTGCCTTAAAAAAAAAAGTATTTATACCTTCAGGGAAGAAATAGAAAATGTACAAAATGTGGGACAAATATAGAAACACAAGCTGTGACACGTGGTACCTAATTAAATGGAAACATACTATAAGCCTGGTACATGTGATATAATAACACATGGTATATGTACAACGTGGTATGAGCACTCGTTATCTTAGAGTAACTAACATTAATTTTGCGTACCAGCCCATGGGCAGGTTATGAAAAGATAGAAGTAAATAACAACCCAAAAAAAGTGTGTTATATTTAAATATATCAAGATCAATTAATGTAGAATTAAATAAGTAGATAAGTTCAGTGTATATAATATGATATTAAAATATACTATTATATGTTAGCTCTAAAGTATAATAATATTTAGGTTGACTTAAGCATATTGCAATAACAGTTTATATGTACCCTACCGCTATTATGTGTGGATAATTTATCATTTAAAAAAATAAATTGTAAATTGAAATAAACCTAAAATATATCAGGGCGCTAAATCGGGATTCAAAGGTTGTGGTCTTAAAATTAAGAATATAAAAAAAGGGATTCTGATTGGTGGGAATACCAAATTTGATCAATTCTATCAGGGTTTAAAATTAGGAAAAAATAGAACAGATGTAAAGAATAAATAAAAAAAATTTAAAAAAATAAAGAATAAAAAATACAAAAATGTAAAATATAAAAAAAGAAAGATAAGAAGTCTAGCATTTCCTCCTGATCTTTATTCAATAAAGTTTTAACATATATATAATTATTCAGTTAAAAGAATCTAGAAATTAAGCTTCCGTAAGGTGAAATATTGAGACTAGAAATTTATAGTTTACTTTTAACTGGATGTAAATTAAATATATAATATATTTAGATTCCAAAAAGATATTGCACAGTAAAACAGGTTAAATTCATCTTAAAATTTAAAGAATTTTTTTTTAATTTTCCTTGATAAGTTCTTCGAATCCGTTTTCATTTAGTATGACAGAAGATTACTATAAAAGGTAATTCCTTAAAACTAATTTAGTTAAAGGAAAAAAGCATTTCATTTAGGTTAATAATTTTAACTGACTCCTAAAATAATTTTTTAGTATAAATTCCACGAAGCTTTTGCAATAAATTTAGTTCTCGAGCTTTATTCTATTATTCCTTTTGCATGTTTCTTACCAATCTATTTTAATGGTGTTCGGCTCTTTTATACCTATAATACCAATCTGGTTATAACTAACAGCAGAGGTTTAAAACTATTGATATGCCCCTGTATTCTTCATAGCGATACAGAATTTGTATAATCAAAGTCTTGATAGTTTTCATCTTGCAGTCACGATGTAACTGAGCCTTACGTAATCATGGAGAATCCGTAATCATGAAGTGTTCCAACAAGCGGAAGCATACCATTAATACGCAGACAGTATACTTATTTTTACTGCTTTCATCGAGTTGCCTACTCAGATTGAAATTTTTACGCTAGGGCTAGTCCTAGGTTTAAAATACTTAGTGTTCTTCAATTTTATAATATATAGCTGAAGATATTACCAAGGGGTTGCTATGTTCACTAACCCTATTAAAAATAGTTATGGACAACGCCTTATGTACTCTAATAGGTTCAATATTTAAATCCTATGAGGTTAAACATTCGTAATATATCATGAGGCATTAGTGAACATTGGCACCAGCTTATTTTAAAACTTTTGAAGTTGCTCGAAGGGTCTAGAGGGGCAGTAACCCAATGCAGTGGAAGCATAGATTATAGTAGAAAGAATTTTCGCTTTATACAGTGATACCTCCTTTTTTAAAATTTTATTTTTCTCTTTCGATTAAGTCAAGAATATAGTGCTGCAGTCAGCCTTTTGACTTTCTATCGTATATAATCTATATATTTTGCCCATGTCAGTTCACCTTTATCACCCAGAGATATTTTTGCCTTGGAACTCCAAGGAAGCTCAGCACCCTGTAGCAAAAAAAATTTTAAAGCCGTTTTTTTTCGTTTAGAGACAAAAGGACATCTGATCTTCTTTACGTTAATTTTTAACCTTCAATTATCGTGCCATACACAGACCTTATTGACTGAAATATATAGGCGAGGGCAAAGTAATGAAGATTTAAAAATGGAATATAAAACCACATTATCTGTAAAAAAAGCAATGCTTGCCTCTTTGATGGTTGGAAGTTCTGCTATGTAAGTAGATATAAGTTAAGGAGACAAAGAGGAGCCTTGATGCACTATTCCATTCATTTCATGCAAAAAAAATTTTAAAAAAAATTTCAGTAAGCTTAATCATAGCCAGAGAGCAGTTAAAAAGATAAAGTTTGTACAAAAGGCCGCCATGCCACACGATATCAAAGGACTATTTTATGACAAGAAATACGTGGCCCGTTGCTTTTTTAAATTAAAGTCTTTGGTAACTTCTTTAACTATACTTAATATATACAGTGCCGTAAAATGTTTGTCTATAGAGCCATAGCGCTCAGGAGGTAGTACATTTTTTTAAAGTACAAATTCTTCGAGTCTATAAATTTTTCCTAGAAATGAGAACAGTCTAATGGGGCGATAATTACTAATTTCAGGTTATGGAGTGCCTTGGAAAGCAGTACGGCGATCTAGCTATTAAACAACCCAAAGTGAGAGTCTAATTAATTATACTAGTAATTCACACCAACCGGGGTCTTTTTAATAATTTTAACATGTTCAATATGTTAGCCCCTCCAGCAGCTTTACTGTTATTAAGGTCCACTTTAGTGCCATCTATTTCTTCCAGGCTTAATATTAAGGTGTTACACTCCTCTTTAATAACTCTTCGACAAACTTCATAATTTTTTTATCGTTTTCGTTTTCTTCGAATATAAGTTTGTGCAATTCTGCTTGATATATAGCAGATGCAGTTGCTTTTTCTTTACTCGCAGATTTGATGTTGTCCCCCGAGTCATAAAGATGGAAATGGATATCCTTTGGTCAACAAAGATTTGACAAGAGGCCAAAAATTTTTTGATGTTGCACAAAGTCAATTTTGTCCTCCCTAATAGAATTATAAAAGGTCCGCTAGTACTTTAGTAAGGCTTAAAGAAAAAGTCGAAAAAGGGTGTTTTTATTTTGTGGTCAAAAGTTCTATAATACCTTCTTTTTCAACTACGCAGCGCCTCTTCGCAATCAGCAATTTTTCTATCAAAGGGAACATTTATTTAATTGGGAATTCTTGAGTACTTTTTAATTACTGTTCAGAGCATCCTTTATAGCGTTTTCCATCTTAAAATGCTGTTTAACAACTCTTCTACTTTATTAAAATTACATTGATCTAAACTTTGATTATATATAGTTCTTTCGTAATCGCCACAATGCAATCAGGAGGTCGTTTAAATTCCATCGGAACCGTTAACAATTCAAAAAACCATCTGGCTATGATCTAACCGTACTTCGTAATAGTTAGTTAAATTTTATTCAATTAGTATATTTTCTAGTACTGACAAATCTAATACATCCGATGGGTGTCTAGTTAAATAACTTGAAGACTCTGAGAGCCCAACTTCAGCTAAAAAATTCCTGAAACCTTACTTCTAAAAACATTCATTGGGATTATCTTTTTACTATTCCAAGTGGGATGTTTCACCAGCGGCAATAGCTGAGGCAGGCATTTTCAAATAATAAATCAAATGCGGTACAAATTAAATTCTTATCATGGAGCTTACATACTGCAGTTATGTCGGTTTTTCCGTGGGCGACAATGTATATAAATACTAGAACAGCTCGAATGATGCCATCCTCGAAGTTATAGTTCAGCTCAGATGAGGAATGCACTTCTTCATAAAAAGGGACATTCCTTTGCTTCTGCTTTTATTATTTGCAGTATGTGCAGTAATTTTATAGTATTAATCTATGACATTTGTTTAGATGAGCCTCCTTTACTAGGGCAATAATCTTTCTTTCAATGAACTCACGAAAATTTCTCATTTTGTCACAATCCATGAGCATTTTAGAGAAGAATTTTTAAATTTGTATGTATAAAAAGTTTATGGGGGTCCATTAAGTACATAGAGAAATAAGCTGTTGCAACATTCATTTTATTTTGTCAACTGCGTGGCAAGCGTTATAATGAGATCGTTTATTACATTTGAGAGGTATACAAATAAGCTATATCCGGCTATCTACTATATTTTTTAAGAAACCTACAGTGCTTTTATATTATTCGCTGTTGTCATCAGTGTTAGTAGGAGGTATGAGTGTTGTATATATAGAACGAGTACAAACTTTGATTGTTGTGTGTATACCATATTTTCTTCCAAGTTGCTTGAATTTAGATTCTTGACAAAATAAAATAATTTTTCGATTTATATTAATATTTATACTCGATGTTTTATTAAATGAAATTGAGCAATATATATACCGACAATAAAATACCAATTTTTTACTCTGATCCTATACTATATTTTTTAAAATTATTCTCCTTATAGGACGGATTTGTGATTTAAACTTGAGGTTGATTAGGTAGCTGTAAACATAATAGCATTAAATATGTAAATTATTATAGTTAATTTGCTTGTCACGCTTCTCCATTTTTTGTTCCGGGTTTTTTTTTCTTTCTCTCTTGGTGTAGGGCTTCGCGCCTTTCTTAATGTAGCTTGAGTTGGACTAGAAGACCAGCGATACTGTTTAGAGATAGTTTTGGTCTAGAGTGCGTAAAACCAAAGATAGTAAGAAAACTTAGTAGTCTAGAGAAACCCTATTTAAATAGTTAGTTATTTAGTAATACTAATTTTATTTAATAAATTGACTTTAAATGAACACTATTTATTTATAATTAATATTTTTGTAATCGTCTATTAAGTCAAGATAAAAAATTTTAGCTAACTATATTTTTGCGCTTATTACTAAAAGGCTTTTCATTTCTTTAGTGTCCTCCTGGTACTCTTTTTTTTTTTTGGCGTAGTAAATTTTTGAACTACATACCTTGAGAGAGTTATGTGTACATTGGTCTATTAAGTTTGGTAGGCAAAAATGTGGTGATTATATAAGCAAAATGGCATCGGCTTTTGTTCATAACTTGCAATGCTGAGTAGTAGATTCAAAGACTGTTCAGATAAAAATGAAAAATAATTTTATTATAAAAAAAATATCAGCTGTTTAGTGATAACCTCTCGCTATTAGTCTTGCTTTACATTTGTTGTTACTTGTCTTCCTTTGTGAAGTATAAATTTTTTCTTAAATAAAGGGACTTTGTCAGTAGTAAAATTTTAACTCCATCGTGCTTACATAGTAAAATAACGAAAATCTGAACCAAAATATATAACTTGCTTTTATTAATTGAAAAAAAGCATTTATAGAAGTGGAAATTAAAGTACCTATAATACATTACCATATATGCGAAATACTTTGCTTCACTAGTTTGACATTAAAAATTATCAAATGATTTTGTTTACTGCGTATACGTAGGAAATCAATTGTTTTACTTATAAAATCTAAGCTAATGGTGTCACAACTCACTTAACTTTTTAGATATTTATTTGAAAGTTAATATTTAGCAAATAATTCGTTACTTTTATGCAATGGAATTTTGCTATGAAGTAAAAGTATATATTTTTGTTTTCATGATTTAACTATTTTTCCTTATTATATTATTGATAACTAAATATAAAGCTTAAAAGAGACATAAAACATCTAAGGAACCCAAAATAAATATGTATATCCGAACGTTGTGCTCCAATGGTTAAGAAATTTGAATGTAAAAAATTGGTATTTAGGCCTATACGCCTAACACAGACAAAAAGTGGGGCAGTTATGTGGCACGTGACCAAGGCGAAATTAAAGATTAAAAATTTGAATGCGATTGCAAGTTTACTTTGTTTTTTATTTTTTAATTTTAGCACTTGCATACTACGGCCTATCTTTTTAACTATGACCTTAGACGACTTAAATCTCAATTCACCTCTTTTGCAGGGGTTGGATTACGAGTGCCCATACATGTCTTTTATAAGCGAACTACCTATGAAAAACCGCCAAAGATTTTCAGTAATCATAAAAATTTGCAAAAAAAATGGCGTTTTGCATAAATAAAATGAAATGGGATCCATTGCTTATCATTAGTATGCAAACATGACTAATTTTCCAAAATAATTAGTCAGTAATATTTTATTTAAAATAATATTGTAAGGTACGTATCAGACATACAAACAAAGCTTATGTTTAAAACCCTTGTAGATTGCCTAAACGTGCAGGATTGAATTGAATCACTAAGGTGACACTGGTTAAAAAAAAATTTCCATATGTGTTTTATTTGCACAAAAATATACTTAAATTTACAGTAAGAGTAGATTCAGTTATGCACTATGATTTGAAGATAGTTAAACTGAGAAATAAACCCCTTAATCTCATTAGCTGCCTTATATGTACTTTATAATATTTAAATATTATCTATAACTTAAATTCTAAAATACTGTTATAAAGGTATAACTTAACTATGATATTTATTAATTTAGGAAATGTGGGAAAAAATAATTAAAATATATTTAATATAGGGCATGCTAGGATATGAAATGAAAACAAACTTATGAAACATCCTTAAATTATACATATTGTTTAGTTCTTAACCATGTAAATAAATAATTATAGTACCAAGTAGTAACAAATTTTAATTATAATTCACGCAATTTTAGGGGTTCTAAAACGAAAAAATGTTGTTTTTGCACTGTAATTTTTATTTCGATTGCCTCCGTAGTTGCACTAGCAGTATTTTTAATTCTATTCCTTTTTACAACGGATAACCAGGAATCTGGTACAGGTAAATAATTTTTTTTAATTTAATGATAACATACATTTTAATACTAATATATTTATTTTTAGTTGCTTATGATCAGACTAAGGGTATAAATACGAATATGACCAAAGACCCTGACATTCTGACGGCTCCTTTACTCTCTTCGGGGGTTTACACTATCGGGGACAAAATAGAGATTACTTTTACTAAAAACATTGACTGCTCTGACCCACACAAGTATTACCTTTATATAACGTTATATGGAGGGAGACAATACTATGACATCTCGAAACTAAATGGTGAGTAAGACTAAAATCTTTTTAATTATTAAAATATTGCAAAGAGCAAAAAGTTAGGAAGATCTAGTACTAATAAAAAAATAAATATACAATAAGGTAGGAGGCAAAGCATATAAATTGTAATAAAGCAGTAAAAAAATTTAAAAATAACAAACTATTCCTTATGGTTTAAATATATAAATTTCTTATATCGACATAATTAAGAAAAATTTAGTACCCCGATGTTGGTATTTAGTTAATTGTTTTAATATTAGGCAAACCTGTTGTGCCTGGATTATATTCAATATGCAACGGAACTAGTATAAATGTTTACTTAACTTCCTTAATAAACTTTTATAGAAGTACAGAGGGAATATCAAATTTTCATGTGGGTTATATTTTTTTGTAATAAAAATATTTACAAACTGTATAAGATTTTTGTGTAGCAAAAGTAAAATTATAAATCTAGTATTTAGTTATTTTCAGATATAATTAAAAGTATTACTAAAAATAAATTTTTAACTATAGTCTTCACTGCCTTGAATTTTTGAGCAATTTAAAAAAAAAATTTGTACATTACTTAATTGAATTTATATCTATTTTTTTTTTTTTAAGATTTGTAATGTCTTTGACGAAGTTGGTAAATTTAGAAGAGGCTGCAAAACGTGGAATTTTAGTGTAAATCCCGTAAAGTTGGCTTACGTTTCCTCTCAGTTTCAAATTGAAAATATAAATATAACTTTAGACGTTTTAGAAAATCTAAGATCAGAAATAAGTAAAGCTTCCATGTGTCCTAAAAATACAGTTGTTTTTGAGAGTATAACGAATTCTAAGCTGCAGGATATGCCCATTATGAAAGGTTTTTTTAAAAAATGTTTTTAATTACTTTAAAAATTATAAATTTTTTTAATTTTACTTTTTAGCTGTAAAAGAGAGGAATATAAGATTTCGATTTAAGAGCGATGGTCGTATAAATCCATGGAATTGCCTTCATGACATGACTAGGGCCATCAATAATTTAAATGATGAGGGCGCCGAGCTTAATGAAATAGTAGAAAGTAAACTAGTGGACAATTCAGACACTTTGAGTGGTCAAGTTATTCAAAATAATAACAACGTTTTCGACAAGAAACACTTAGTTACTGTTGAAACTCAAACTAATCAATATGATAATTTGGAAAAGTCTTCTCCCAAGGTTACGCCAAAATTCAATGATAACGAAAATTTGGAGGATAAGGAATCTTTCAGTTCTCCCGAAGAGTCTCAAGAATTCGAAAAAATTCAACATAGAGAGATTGATGTTAATTTTGAAGATCACTTGGGATCTTTAAAAAAAAATAGAGTAACTGAAAATAATTCATATAAATTTCTTTCCCAAGTCAATGCAGAAAAGGGGCTTCTGGTAACAGAAGTCGGTGTAGTGATAGAACCGAAAAACTCTACAGGAAAGATAAAGATTTTAGTAATATTGTTGGTTTTGCTAAGCGTTTTGGCGGTTGCATGCTTTCTAACGATTTTTTTTATTACTCTAAGCTTAAATCATTCTGCTATAAAAAGCCAAGATAGTTCACTTGGCTTAACTAAGAGTAGTCAGCATTCAGCTTAAAATTATTAAATATAAAAGTTTTTACCGAAAAATACAAGTTTGCTTGTATTTATTTAAAAACACCTAATAAAAAAATCTAAATCCTTTTTTTTTTAGTATTAAAAAAATTTTTTTAACGTTTAATATAAAACATTTAAGTACTCAGCAACAAAGAGTAAAAGGTTAATATAGAATTAACCTCTTAGCTCTTTGCAGCTTACTAAAAAGGTATAAAACTAAAATAATTTCTATAAACTTAAATTTTTACTGTTATTTGATTTTTAAATCTTATATTTAACAAAAAAAAAGTTTTTGGCTTTATGTAGTAAATTATTTTATTTAGCAAAAATAAAATATCTTATAGTCTTGCCATTTCGCCAACACCCACCTCCGTTAAACATTTTTATTTTAGATCTTCATATGAAACAATTAAAAAGTTGCAAATAAACCGGAACGACTTTATAGCAAAAAGTCGTTAGTCGCTAAAGGTATACCTGTTCTTTTCTTTTGAGGATTAGTGTCGCGTAGCAAGATTCAACTAATTAATTTTAATAAATCGAAGTGCCGAATACAAACATATTGACAATGCAAGATAGACTGGGAGAAGAGTGCTAAATAATTAACTTCGAGTAAATGTCTATAAGAAATAAAAACTTGCAATAACTAACCAAAGATACCTATTTACTTTATTGTACTTCCGTTGAAAACTGTAACTTATTAAACTCAAGAAAACAAAAATTTTATTTTTTACTATTTATATTACGTCCAACTATTGTAAAAACAATATGTTGCACATAAGTGACTACTTTAAAAAAGTGCCAACCTAAAATGTAAGCGTGAAGTGGTAAGTAACTATAGAGATCTCAAATGAGACAAGCGTTTCGTCTCTAATATAAAACAAATTTCGTAATTATAGTATTAATATATACATACATAACAAAACTAGCGCTAGTACTCTCCATGAGGGGGAAAATGAGAGGGGCAAATAAGCGTTAATTTATGAAGCTTCACTAGTACTTTTAATTGTATATTGTTCCACTCTTGGTTGGAAGAATAAAATAAAAATAGGGAAGACGATTTTTATAAACAGAGCATACGCAAACTTTAATTTTTGCTCGACGAAGGGAGCAATGAGGGCAAAGCAAAACCTCTTTCTGTCTGGTTGGTATCGCCTGCTTTATGAATATTAATGAAGCGCTACGCAAGCTGTGCTTCTTCTCGACTAATGCCGGCGAGCCGCTGGGTCATGTTAGCATCAATTATGTTAAGAAAAGCAAACATTAGGTATTAAACGGCATCAGTTATCGTATAATAAAGAGCATATAGTTGGAAGCAAGGATTATCAGCTGCTGTGCTTCACGATAGCCTTCAGCACCTTTTTTTGTTATGAAGAACGGCGTGACTCTGCGACCAACTTCTCTCCCAATAAAATACTAGACTATTAACCTCTTTTCAGTTATCCATTAACCAAGCAAAACAGCTTACTACTCCATTGTAGAGCGGTCTTCAAAGCTCGCCGTTTTTACTTGTTCCAGTTTATATCTTTGCAAAAGCGACGCAGTAGTTACTCTGGCTTGCATAAAACCCTTCAATCTTTTATAGGTGCCTTTCCTCAAGTTTTAGACTGAGGTTGGTGTGAGTGCTCTTAGTTTTTTCACGTGGTATTTACAATGGACACCACTCTTACTTAAACGGCCAGATATTCAGGATGCATGGGGATAACGCGCCCTTTACTGTATTTAAAACACATGGGAATGCCTAATACATTAGACATATCGATAGGGCAGTTTTAATAATATTCATCTTTCAGTGACAAGATCAAAGACGTTTACTAACCTTTTCGACCAAGGTCAAATTCGTCCTGTTTTTAAAATGACTCGATTTCTTTACCAAGTTCGGTACAACACCCGCTCTACAGGTCTTTTTTATATTCTACTATATAGGCGCTAAGTTCAAGCTTACCACGCCGCCGTGACCACACTTGACGTTAAATCTCGCGAACTGAAGATGCTTATCAGCAAGCATCTACGGCATATGATCCACTACCCGTCGCAGTAGGAAAGCTGTGGGAGACGACTGCCGCGACTCTTTTGGTCCTCTGTTAAGAGCTACTACCCTTCTGACTCACGATGATCTTATGGCCGAAGACCACGTAAACAAAGAGAAACTTTTACCGAATTTCTTGCTGCTCAGAGCGTACCACTTGCCCCCCATTCGTAATAAACTGCTTCCCTTCAGCTACTATTAAAGAGTAGTTTAAAATAAGTCATTATAGTCAAAATTCAGAATCTTGTAAAACAAAACGGAGGATGACATCACCAAAGGCTGCTTAAGCAATTACTATTGGTTGCAATAAGTCATCTTTGCTGTCTCCAAAACTTGATAACCGGCAAACTGTTGTGAAGGGGCTGCCTAAGATCTCACGCAAAAGAAATATTGATAATGACATAATTTATTAGCTATAGAGTTGCTTTGTACAGTATATTAATAAAAAACATAAAATTTGGTCAATAGCTCAGTACCTTATTGTGCTAGGCGTGTTCGTGACTTAAGTTTATGTAGGTGGTAGCGTTGGAGCATTTGGCTGCAGCACGTATGTATTTTACCTCAAAAAACTAGCTTTTTTCATCGAGGAGTAGAGCGCAATATACTTTAGAATTATTGTTAATAAGGTATTTTCTCAGAACTGGGTCCATTACCTACAAAGGAACTGATCAATAGATAGCTACAGAAAAACTAAAATTCTAAATTCGTTACTAAATTATTTAAAAAAGTCTACTACTAATATTTGTAAGCTACCTAAACATAAGCTGTAAAATAAAAAGCGTATAAGAAGATTATTACCCAAAAGAACAATCGAATTACTTTAAAGAAGCGAACCAAAGATTAAGGACGGTCATTTAATACTACATAGCCCAGGTCAGTAAATGAGCTGTATAAACTTTCCCTTGTTCCAGATTTCGTTTAATAAATTTTGTAGTTTATTGAAGTTTGTTAACTAAAAAGAATGAAGCTTTTAGAATTAACAAATGCCACTTAGTAACGACAGTAACAGCACAGCAGGCCATTTAAGGTAACTGAACTATAGAGTTGTTAACCCTCAAAATTGATGAAAGGGCTTTATAGTTAGAAAAAAATATAAATAAACGTATTTACTATATAACTAACTGACTGGTTGTAAGGTGTTATGTCAATGTGACTGTAGGGCGCAAGCATTTACAAGTGCAACTATTAACGTAGCTGAGGCGATTTTTAAATTAATGCTCAACTATAAATTAAGGAAAACATCAATTAATACTTCTCTCCCATAAACTCATTTAATCTAAAGAACAGGAATTAAATTTTTATTCTTACGAGAATTTCGAAGTTTAACTTTATAGTTTATTGAAACTATACCAACCTAAGTTTACTACAAGAGTTTTTGTACGAAAAAAATTAGATAATACAGATACTTTAAAACCTGAGAAGTATACATTTAATAGCCAACGGGAGTAAAAAAATAAAGTCAAAAACTAGAGAGTACTAAATAGCAAGGACATTTGAAAAGCTAAGAAAAAAAATGAAATGCCGTCAATCAAGTATAAAATTTACATAGTTAGTTATTTATGTATTATAACGGCGAATTCATGCCCAGTCTCCTTTGTCTTTGTTTTCTGAGTTTGCAGAAAAGTTTAACAAACTTGCCATCTCACTTCATACCAATTTTATTGTTATAAGCGATACAGTTAACTCGACAGACTATGCCAGTGGGAGCCTTAACTAACAGAATAAGTTTTCTAACTGTATCATGAAAATTAGTACTTTTACTATAAATCTAAAACACTTTTATTTATACGCTGAAAACGAAGGAACTAAGACTGGGATATTTCACATACCACAATACTAACGAATGGTTAATTAACTGCTGTGAAATTACTAGATGTAAACAGTATAACTAGCATATCTTCAAAAAAGTAGATATCGCTTTCATTTTTCCCTTGCTTATAAGGCTTCAAACTTAAGCCAAAAAGCTAAGGCATTGTCCAAGATCTTTTTAGCTAAAGACGATAAAATACGAGCTTATAAAAAGGTAAATTAACTTTAGTAGAATAAGCTAGTCAGTTTAGTTCTATTAAAGTAGGACTCTCACATATTTTTTCAAGTTTATGTTTTTGGTATACATCAGTATGGTAACGCCGAGCTAGCTACCATGAAGTTAGCATGATCACAAAGAAATCGATCTGCTCCATTGTGATATCGTGCGGATTCCAGTTAACCAGCCCAAATCTTAAATTCCATCAACTAAACTATCGTGCTAGCTAAAGAAAGTCGTAAGGTTTATATAAGGTAATTTGGACTTAAGTAGCTTTAGGTTTTAGTTATATAGTCGTGCTAAGATGACTAAGATTAGCATCTGGACTAAAGACCGCTTCTATTTTAAGTGGGGTTAACAATTTTTATTTATTAGTATTATAGTCTTTTTTTTTTCTAAACTATGTTTAAACAAGCTTACAAATTTTTGTTAGAAGACCTACAACCTGACGATAATAATATATATTCTTCTAGAGTAGCTTTTCGATATTACTTTTATTAAATTTTCTACTTAACGCGGGGAGTCGATTCACTTTAACAAACAATCTCAGAATTTTCCGAAGGCCGAGCAGCCGACAGCATCACTAAAGTGGTCATTACAGAGAAAAAAGCTTTTAGCTACCTCGTTAATGAGGGCCGCCGAAAGTTTTACGTCGCGACTTGTATGAAAGATATTAGTAATTTTTTCACCAACTGTGTTTAACTACATAAGTTTGTTGGCAAGGGTTAAAAGGCGAGCAGCAGCGTCTCTTGTCTTTTATCTTTGTTCCAGCAGCAACCATAAGACTGAGGCACGCTCTAAGTGTTGATTCCAGTTTTATATTCACGCTTTTATTAAATGGCTGTGTCGTCTGGCGGCATTTTGTGTTCTGCTTAAAAAACGGTAGACAGAAGACTGGTCTTCATTTTTAGAGATCTAATATGTATGTGAAGGCTGCTAAGTACTACCTTGGCGTAGAAACTTTAAGCGGTAGAGGTTAGGTTTTTAGCGGGTGGGGTTGAAATATAAAATCTACAAGGTTTTTTGGGAAAAGGTCAGAGTAATATAGCATTAGCAGCTATTAATGCCCAGCGGGTGTAAACTTTACTATTTCCGTGATTTAACGTGTCCAGAACTCTGTCGTGGTATTTTTGCCCTACTTGTGTGGGACGGGCAGGATGAAAGTGCACCAGATCGCTGTCGGCAAAGGGACGCCCAAGCTATCTAGCTCAAATCTGAAATTCGCTAGGAGTTGAAGTTTGGCGCAGGAAATGCTTGTCGTATTGCACTAATAAATAATATGTTGTATAAAGTTAGGGTAAATTAAGTTCTTTAACAGATATAATACTAACTAAAAGGGGATATTCCTTACTGCCTTTAAGCCTTTAAACTTGGCAAGCGTAATTAATGAAACCCTTTGATAAATAGTTCTCTCCGTTTAAACTAATTTAATCTTACTTTTTTTATATATAGGTTTATTAAATTAAGAATACTTTTCCGTACTAATAAAAACTTAAAAATATCAAATAAAGGCTGTAACGTTGAAACTTGATTTAATGTAATCTACGCTCTTTGTGGTTGGTGCACAGTGAACCTAAAGTGTGGTCATTGCTGTCGAGGTGCAAAAAAAGAGCCCACCTTTGTTCATTAACATTTTTCCTGGTTAATAACCCTCTTTTTCGAATCATTAAGATCTTAATTATTAATAAAATAGTACTATTACCTAGAAGAAAAAACTCTGGTTGTATGCACTATGTTTTTAATTTTATAAAAACGGAAGGAAAGGCTCAAAAAATATCTTTTTCTACTTCTTTTTTCGATCTAGAGAGGAACTCAGAAATAAAAACTATAGCTCACTACTTGTTAGTGTGTATATACTAATTAATATCATATAGTTTAGAATTTGAATAAAAAATTATAATGTTTAGGCTTTTGCGGAGAGCAACTTCTGCCATTTTTAAAGTTAGTTTAAATGGGGTCGGTCAGTGACGTTATTATCGTAACATGAATGGAGCAGCTGGGCAGTAAGCGTTTTGGGTCTAAGCATTTTGTTAATTAATTATGCAAACTGACTTCTGTTTTCTTTTAGAAAATTTTTTGTAGTAAAGTTTTTTATATTGTTTTACTTGATAAATTAAACAATAAGTAGATTGACATGAAAATAGAAGTGGAAATTCCCTCCGTGGAATTTTTAAAAGAGCTAAAAGTGCACCAGCTTCCTTTTGAAATTGAACATAACGGCCAAGCTAACGTTAAGCAGTTTTTCATAGAATCAGAAATAGACGGTTTTCTTCTTAATAAAATCAATAAACAATTATAATTTGATTAATTTTTTTTACATCGAAGCGTATATTTCATAGTTGCTATCCACGTACAGTTATAACTAGATCTTTATTATAATAAATTGTGTTCTATACTTATTTATAGAAAGAGTAAATAGAAATTTCAATTTTTACAGGTATAAAATTAGGTTTTTTTTTATTTTTTTTAAGAGATTAAAACTGTATATACTCGTTGAAATTCAAGTATAATATTTGTAATTGTTTCTTGTTTTAAGGGATTTTATATGCTCATTTTCGAGGACGTCGCCTTTTCGGTAAACGGGTAAACCTTCCTGAAGGCTTTGAAGGTTCTTTAAATAGTTTTCCGTAGGTTCAAGAAGAATTTAGGTTAAGAACTAGTTTGAAAAATAAACCCAATAAACTTTTTTTTATTAGTAAATTTTTCGTTATAAGGTTTACTACGTATAGATAACTTTTTTTAATTTAAATTGATTATTCCTTGGAAGCACAACTTTAAAATTTATTGGTACCATTTAAAAAAAATTCGTAGGAGTTTTGTTGAAAGAAATCAGCCAGAATTCTGTTAAAGATGGGCGACATAATTTAATTATTGCTGCTAAATTTCATTCTTTTAAAGTATGGCATCAGGAAGAAATTTCTGAAGAAGAAATGAATATAAGTAAAGCGCTTCAGTGGATTGAGATGGCTAAAGCTGTATTAAATTAATATTTGTATTGAAAAAATAGTTAACGAGTATTTAAAAAAGAAAATTATTAATTTAGCGTATATTTTTTATAAATAATTTAAATTCCTTAAATTTTGAAAAGTTTTTTTTATATAGATTCACAACCCTTTAAGTATTTGAATCATTTTGTAATTTTTGGAGATAACAAGATTTTAATTCTACTGAATAAACTTTTTTCATTATTATTGATCGTTGTTTACAAAAATTACTTGAATTAATTTAAAATTAGCTGAGATGACAAGGTTTTACTATTTTAACTTAGTAAACTTTTTAATTTGTTACTAATTATATTGTTTATAAGAATTACCTTTGTTATATATATGTAATGTGTGGAAACGGCGAAAAAATTTATTTATTTTTATTATTGTTGAGCCCGTTTAAGTTCTTAATTGTTTAAATTAAAAGTATTTTCTTGAAAGGTAACTCTGTACGGTATTTAAATTTAATAAAAGTTTATACTAATAATTGTTTGTTGACTTTTAGAAAATTTTTATTTACTTCGTTCTGTAAAAGTGCATTTACTTTTTTTTCTTATTTTTAAAAAGTCACCAGTTTACTTACTATTAAAATTCGCTAGGAATTAATTTAGTCTACATTCCGTATAGAAAGTTTTGTAAACTCCGCAAGAAAAGCAATAATAGCAGATTATTGTATGTAAAAATCCCTCGAAAACTCTTTTTTTGAGTGGAATTATATAAGCAAGCATAAAATTTTTTTACAAGTGCTGATCGAATTTATATACACAAAAACAATAAAATATTAAAATGTAACATTTAGGATTTCCTATATAGAACGGAAAGTCTATAACTACAACACGATAATCAGAATCTATTTGATAATGTCGGAAAGTATTAGTAAATATTTAAATTAATACAGATCATCTTGAGAAACAAGCCTTTTGTAAGGGGTGCAAGATTATCAAAGTATTATCGGTAGAATATTCCTTAAAGAAGGTGATAGTGTTTAGAAAATCGTTAAAGAAAAATGCTAAAGTATCAGAAGCGTTAAAAAAATGTCTATTTTGTGATGACTAATACACTTTTTAAAGGCAAAAGCGAAAGAAAACTAAGATTATCAAAATAAAATCTAATAATGAAGAGAAAACAAGTCATATCTCAGTGAGTATTTATGAAAGTATACATATATAACGAAAAAAAAAGTATAAAAAGTTCTTTGAAGCGAATAATGGAGAAACCGATTAATTTATAAAAATCACTTTAACCAAATAACAAAAAAATAAAACTTAAATCTTATTAAATAGTGGTTTGCAAATCTTTTATTTAAATAAATTTTCAGTTTATAAATTATTAGAAGTTTTTATTCAAAGTTCTAAACTTTTTTAATTTTAAATACTTAGAAAATATATTTAACTGTGTTACCACTTATAACGAACGATAAATGCTTTTCTATACCTAGTGAATTTCTTTGTTTATATAATACTATTGTTATATAAAGCATATCTTTATTAATCCATTATAAATTTTTTTATTGTTTCCGTATATGATATAAAAAGAAATTAAAGTAGTTATGAGTGTAAAATTGCATTTAGTGTGAAAAAAATTATTTACCATACCAGTAAAGTTAACTACAAGAAAGGATGAGACCATTTATATAAAAGATATACAAAATTCAAGATTTGTTTTTTAAAAGCGTTGACCCTGGTGTGACCACTATCGGTATAATAAAAACTTCGAGGTAGCAACTTACAAATGTTTTACTATGATAAAGTACTTGATAATATTCAATCAGGCTCCTTTACAGGTTAAATTTGTTCTATACTTCACATCATATGTATCATTTTTTATAGAAGTTATTAAATATGTACTACGTAACTTTCTTCTTTATCTTTAAATATAAACGTATAATCTTTTAGCTAATAATTGCACGAAAGTGTAATTCTCGAACAATTTATACGCAGCACATCCTTATAGGGCAAAACAGTAAAATCCTAAAACATTCCATATGGGTAGGTCATTGGTAAAAACAGTTGTTGATGATAATTGTTAGTTTACAAGTCATAAGTAAATAAAATGTTAAAACAACTTTTTTTTAAGTTATATTACCAAAAAAGTAACTCTTATTGCGAAAATTTGCTCATCAAAGCTTTTCTGACTTAAACTGTGCCATAATGTAATTACCGAGTAGGTTACATACTAAATTTTGCCTTTTTTTTACTAATTTGATTTTTAGTCAAACAATAGTCTTTTAGTTTACAAAGAGTATATTACTCTATTAAGTCATATCACTATAGAAGAATTTTAGTAGTTAGAATTTCTAAAGTTTAAAACACTATAATATTTTTTATCCCTCTTACATTTTATAAAATTATAATTTGTTTGAAAGCTGGTTAAGCTAAAAAAAAACTTTCCTGTTCATAAAAATCCTTCGTTAATACTTAAAATCATAAATACATATTAACTAATGTTTATTTTCAGTACGTTAAGCTACAACTTGTGATGTTTCGAATACTTTAACTTAAAAATTATATTAAGATTTATTTAAATGATTATTGTTAACTATGAAGAACTATAGTAGACTAAAAAAGGATATATAAATTTAAATATTTTACTTGGCAGTTATTAGTCAATTTTTTTTTTTAATATTTCAAAATTTTACAATAAAAAGGCAAGAGTTATAAATTACAAACTTAATGGTCATACCTAAAACGTTTGCAATAGTAATATAGGGTATGGACTAAAAAGAGAATTAGGTATGTTTAACTTTATTCATAAGATCAGCAACATTGTGACCTATTTTAAGCAATGTAGACTGAGAAAAATTTAATATTATAATAAGGCCACTAACCAAAAGCAGTACAGTTAATTGTAAGATCCCTTTACAATACACTGTAAAGCACTTTCGTCGCAGTTTTCTCAGTTAGCCAAAACTTGTATAAATAAACCTTCGTTGTTACCAGAAACTTTACCGTTGCTTTGTTAAATACAATGGCAAGAAAGACTTAAATACCCAAGCAATAGCAATAATCTATCTTGGAGGTTTTAAGGAGTTTTACAAGCGGTGTTGATATGGTTTTTACTTAAAAAAATTTTCCATTCTAGATGAAATATGTAAAACCAAAAATATTTTTGTTAGTAAAGTAGACGTAGCTAGTCTCGGAGTCTTTAAATTTAATTCTCATGATCTTCCTGGATTCTTTCACAATATTTTCCATCACACTGAGGGGAAAACAGGAAATTCATGCGATAACTTTCCGTTACTAAATCTAATTTTTAAATATTCTGCGAGAAGAGGCAGTAAAAGCCCCCTTCCAGTTGACTGATTGATATTTACATATTTTTAAGGTAAAAATGCCTTGGAGTATCTCAGTTTAAGAGAATAAAAGTCCTAATGTTATCAACTATATAGAGGTGGTTTAACTTAAAGGTTTACAGGAAGAGTATAACTTTAAAAATATAATTAACCATAATCTTGGTGTATGTATAGTTTAAGCTTCTTATAACAAATTTAATTCGGTTTTTGGAGATGTATACCGTTACCTGAGGCTTTACTTTGTTATTTCTTTTGTCTTGCAGTGTAAGTTTGCATAAGGGTCCCTTAACAGATAAGTTGTTAAACCGTTACTAACACAATTATAAATATCCCAGTATTATAATTATCAAAGTTTGTATGCCTTGTCTTATTAAAATATATTATTTTTCTGGCGTCTATCTCGCTCTTTTTATTACGCAGTTTTTCAGTCTAGTATTATTAGTAATCAAAGGACTTTAACACGAAGATTATTACCTCACTTTTCTCTAATTAAATAACTGTTTTAAACATCAAACACATCTGGGACTGTACTGTTAGTGCACCCCCAACGAACAGGTAAGGCGGTCCATTGGGACAAACTATTTGAGGATAACCTGTCCACAGCAAGTTTTTTTAACGACTTAGAAAAGGTAACTCTACCGTGAAGGGTCAACTGGACTGTATGCAGCCAGCAGGGTTTTAACCCCCCCTCCTTCCCGGCGGAAAAAAAGTAACAATTTGAATGCCTTCAGAAACTTAAAGTTTTAAAAAAAGAGTTTTTTAAGGCGAATAAAAGCCCGCCTTTTAAACACCAAATTGTGGAACGCTCCTGTCTGGAGTCGATGTATTGCATTACATTGTTATTTTATTGCATGAAAATACTTAAATTTAACTTGATAAAACTAATAACGCAATCTTAAGTTAATAAAGATTTTAGCCAAACTTTTTTTTTAAAACTAATTAGTTATTATCATAATTATTATTATTTTCCGTATTCTTTTTTGGGTAACTATTTAACTTCAATCAAAGTAAAATTAAAAAAATTTAAGCTTTTAAACCGATGAGAAGACGGCATAAACTTTGAAGTTTAAATGCTGAGCTGCTTAGATACAAAGCTGGGATGCTCCTTTAATGTGCACTATGAAGTTTTTTTAAAAAACTGGAAGGCAACTTTCGCTGCAAAATGCCACGAGTAGATTCTAATTTATACAGACTCCGCATATTTAAATACAGTTTTTTCAATTATGTAATGTTTAACTTAATTAGGTCTGGTAAAGAGTCTCGAGTTCATCTTCCCTTTGGTCATGCCATTGTTATGCTTCACGAGTTTACGTAGTAGTGTTATGCCCGTCGTTTCCACATAAAAAATTATTGTTTACTGTTACAATAATAACAATATAGAAAGCCAACAAACTTTTAGCGAGTTAAATAAGGCACAATATTTGGAAGGAAAAGAAGTATAAATTTATGTTGGCAAACTTCTATTCCCAATTCTTGGTTTATGAAGAGAACTCTACTTTTGGTCCAACTGTAAAAGCTAATGTAATTTCAGAGACATACAGACTTCTTTCTTTTAAGCTGTTTTTTTAATGCAATAACAGCTGTTGTTGGTTTATATACCAACATTATGGATCAGTTATTACAAAAGTAAACATTTTTCTATTAAAGAAAATGTTTTTATTTAAAGATGTGAACATCACTTTTAAAAATTCAT